CATGCATCCATCCATCCACACACCCAATGCCAAGTGAGACCTCAGAGGTGCTCAGGCTACTCAGGGAAGATCTAGGGTTTTGGGGGCTGTGTACGGCTCAGGTGGCGGTTGCAACCCTTGCTGCAGGGAGGACTGGGCGTTAGTCAAGGAAGGAAGCTGGTAGGAGTGGCGCTCAGACACAAAGGAAGAAAGGGTTCCTGAGGGAGTAGCGGTGTGTGTAAAACCACCAGGGCGTGAAGGAGCTTTGTCTGTTTGATAACCGGAAATTGGTGGCCTGCGTGGAAGTGGGGCAGAGATGAGGACAGAGACGAGACGGGGACAGCCCATCCTTCCAGCCTCTCTGCCCGGTTCTTCTCTGTAGCACTCGCTTTCTTAATAAGAAAGCACCCCCAACACACACACACACACACACACACACACACACACACACACGCAACTCCTCTGCTGCTTCTAAGTCTGCGCTCAGGCTGTTTTCTTAACCCAGAGTCCCCTCCCCAGCTCTTTCTAGAGTTTCCAAGGATTGGGAACTCAAGTAGCAATGCATAAATTGGTCTTGTAAATTGCTGGCCTGGCGCTGGGGTGCGGGCAGTGTACTTAAGTGGCAGAGCGTTTGCCCAGCACGCTCCAGACCCTCGGTTTGAGCCACACCACATCAGGAGAAGTGAGGTCAGGTGTAGAGGTGAGGGACTGGCGTGTGTGAGGCCACCTGGAGGCGTTGTGGCCAGGTGTGGCCGGCTGATATTTCAAAAGAAATTTGAAATCTACATTCTGATGTAAAATCTTCTACCTTTTAGATATTTGAAATCAATTCCCCAAATTTAGAAATGCTGAATGGGCCCAAAGCAATATGCCCTGGGGACAAAGCCGGTTGGCCTTTGGTTGGCAACTTCTGCTGCCGAGAATACTGCTTCGATTCCTGAATTGCCTTCTTCCTGTCTCTGTGGAGACTCGTTTTTCTAAAATCCCAGTCTTTTTTGGCCCCCAGCTTGTAAAGAACAAATCCGATGGCTCCCCTGTGTGAAATTGCCAAGGACTCCCTGTTCCCTCCAGGGCAAAGCCTGCCTTCCTTATCTTGGCAATAAAAACCTAACTTTTGGAGCTACTGGCCATGCCTGTGCTGAGAACCTCTCTCCTCCCTTCAGCCTTGATCTCGGCCGCATTGTTCTGGACGTGTGTGGTCTCTCCCACTATGCTCGATGTGCATTAGTTTTCCTCTGTCTAAAACATCTGTCCGTCTTCTTTGTTCTCCCAAACAAGTTATTCTGCAAAACAAACCCTCCATGGCTGCATTTCCTCTCCCGCCCCTCTTTCGCCTACCTATGTCGGGAGTCTCGAATTCCACCTTGACTCTGCTCTAGTCCTAAGGAAGGCTCCCCGCACCCGCCAGAAGGCGGAGGGGTTTGAGCACAGTAGAGGAAGACTGGAGAGGAATGTTTCCTTGCATCTAACAACTGAGTCTCAGAACGTTAAAGCTTAGAGTACCTCTTCCTCTTTTACAGATGAGCAAACTGAGGCTGAGAGAAAGGCAGGAGTGGACTCAGGCCTTGACATGCTCCTGGCCGTGGCTATTGCTAGTTTGGATATGAAATGTCCCTCAGGCAGCTGGATGTGGTAGTGCGTGTCTGTAATCCCAGTACTCAGTACTTGGGAGGCTGAGGCAGGAGGATTCACAGAGAGTTCAAGGCAAGCCTAGTTTCCGTAGTGAGTTCAGGGCCAGCCTGAATTACATAGTGAGATGCTGCCCCCACCACCACCAAAAAAAAAGAAATGTCCCAAGGGCACATGTGTTAAAGGCTTCGTCCTAAGCTTGGCCCGGTGCAAAGTGGTGGTAACTTTTAGGAGACAGAGCCTAACGGGAGGTTTTAGGTCACTGAGGGAGCGCCCTTGGGGGAGACTGTGGGGTCCCAGACCCTTCCTCTCTCCCTTGTATCCCTGGCCACGAGGTGAACACGTTTCCTCTGCCGTGTATTTCTGCCACAGTGCTGCCTTACCCCAGGCCCAGCGTAATAATACCATCCAGTCACAGACTGAAATTTCCAAAATCCTGAGCCAAAATAACCTTTCTTCTCAGCACTGCGGAGGCTGAGGCAGGAGGATTGTTTCAAGTTCGAGGCCAGCCTCGGCTACAAAGTGAGTTCGAGGCCAGCCTGCAATGCATAGTGAGACTGTCTCAAAAAGAGAAAAAACCGAAACAAAATGAAACCAAACCTTTCTTCATCAAATTTTACAATAACAGAAAGCTAAAATAACAATGACTCGATTTTATTTTGGTTTTGTTTTTTTTTCCGGTACCAGGAATTGAACTCATGACCTTGAGCTTGCCAGGCAGGTGCTGTGCCACTGAGCTAAATCTCCAGCCCCATAAAGTATGGAATGGTTTTTTTTTTGTTGTTTTTTTTTCCCAGTACTGGGAATCGAACTCACGACCTTGGGCTTGCCAGGCAGGCGCTTTTGCTGCTGAGCTAAATCCCCAGCCCTGAGCTAAATCCCCAGCCCTCGATTTTAAATTAATAGTGACGCAGTTATCAGGGCTGCCCAGTTCAAGGCCACTATCTGCAGAAACAGCCCTGATTATTCAGCTGAGACCTTGATTACCCTCAGTGCAGTTGGCTGAGATTTGCCTAAAAGCACTGAGTAATCAGATCCCATCCTCCCTGTCAGCTCTGCAGCCTGGGACGTCCTGGTCCCCCAAAAGGGAGCTCTCTTCGCAGAAGATACAGCAAGGGTCTCAGTGAATTTAAGCTACGGCTGCTCCTGGAAAACTTTGGACTATCAGTGTTCTGGGACCAGCAGACAAAAAGAGAAGTCACCATCCTGGCAGAAGGCGGGACTGCTTTTCTGAGGGGAAAAAGGAGGAATATACACAGAGCCAATGATCAGAACCATCGGTTATAACCAATAATTCCGTGCCCTTAGGGGGGAAGGCTTGGGTTATACCACCAGGTACCTCAGCAAGACACCTCAGCAAGACCTGTCATGGTGAGATGCTAGTGATACACAGCTCAGTGGTAGAGTGGGCATGAGGCCTTGGTTTCACTCCCTAGTACTGCAAAAGACAAAAACAGTGTTACGGTCTGTGTCTGGGTGTACCCCAAAGCCTCATGCGGTCATGGGACAGGCTTTTAGACTTTGGTTGATTATGGGTGTGAGAGCTACACCCGCCCTGGGGCGGGTAGTTTTGCATATGTAAGGGAGATAAAGAGGCTGCTTGCCGCCACTCCTCCCTTTTTGCTCTTCTTGCTTTTGCTGTCTTCAGCCGCCATGAACTGTTGTCCTCTGCCATGTGCCACTCTGCCTTGGAGCCAGCCGAGTATGGACCAAAACCTCCACAGACTGTGAGCTAAATAAACCTTTCCTTCCTTAATTCTGGGCATCAGGTATTTTGTCTCAGCAACGAGAGAAAAGTAACGAAGACAACAAAACCCTGACAAAGTGTGTTTGGGGGATGGATCGTATCAAGTGGACAGTGGAAGCGGGAGGCTTGAGAACTAGCTACATGCCCAGATAACCAGGCAAGGAGGAGAGGAGTGGTAGTTGGTTTTTCTAATCTCCCTTCTCACAGTTTCTCCTCCTCAGAGAGAGGCTCACAGGATCCACGGAATTGCTGCGCAGGGCAAGGGGTGGAATGTGGCAGCCGTGAACTCCTGCTCTTCGGACCTTGGACTTCAGGGGAAGCAGCCGACCACGGCTCTCCTGATGGGTGACTTTTGATCAGGACTCCGCTTGGCTTTGTTGAAATGTTCATAGCGCTGCACTGCAGTCTAAGGCTCTTCCTGTCCACAGGAAGGGCAGGTCTGTTGCGGTGTGATTGTTCCCCAGCCTCCGCTGCCTTCTGCTTTCTGATTCCCTCCCAAGTGTTTTCTCCCATAACTTGCTTGCATCTCTGACCTTCTCTTCCTCCGAGTCTCAGAGGACTGAGCCAATACGAGGTATCTGGAGAGAAGAACTAAAGCAGCTGTTCATAAGGCTACAGACCTTTGTCCTTGACACCTAGGGACAAACTACCCTGGCCAGCTCAAAGCTGTCTCCTCAGCGCTGCTGCCTTTCCAGAGAGCCTTGAAGGGTGCAGTCTGGAAATCAGAACACAAAGGTGAAACTTGGCCATGATTTTCACAGCTACGTAGAAGAAACGTTGTGAAACACACCATCT